AAAAAAAAAAAAAAAAAAAACTAAAACACTTTTTTTTTCTTTATCTACTTTATTAGGAATATAATTTAATATGAACATTTATAATTTTTTGATAATGTAATCATAATTATGATTGAATGATTGAAAAAAAAAAAAAAATTATTAATTTAAATTCTTTCACCGGATTTTTCCTTCCATCTTTATTTGTGAAAATTATTTAGATAGAACCCCTTGAAGTGGCGCAGCAACAAAAAAATTGGAAAATTCACGAAATTTGATAAAATAATTTTCTTATCCCTTAAATATTATTATTTTAATAAATAAAAAAAAAATTAAAATATTGAAAAATATTTTAATTTTCTTTAAAAAAAACAACTTTATTTTTATGAAAAAAAAGTTCTAGAAAAATCCAACCAAATTAAAATGAACCTAGTGAAACCAAAACGAAAGAATATGAAGAAGTTTTGTATAAAACTTAAATTGCTCGTGATCTACACGCTTTTTTTTGATTCCTTGTTTCCTTTTTAACATCTTTGATTTTTTTTTGGGGATCTACTAATCAGGTTTACCATTCAAATGTTCCCTTCGCCCAATTTCGTTATTTACCAATTAAATAATATAAAAAATTTTAAATATTTTTTTATTTTATAATCAAATATTATGAATTCCTTATAAAAAATTTTTATTAAAATTTTAAAAATAATTATTTTAATGAACTAAAAAAAGTATATGTTTTTAATATTATCATGTTGAAATATTATCTCAATCAAACTTTTTTTTTTTCTTTTTTCACTTTTACTCTCGCTCACCATATTTTCTCCATATCAGGTCATCGGTGTTCAGATCTTTGCATGTTAACATGGGGCCTAAGCATGTGGCACAATTCCCATGAAACAATAACGTCACATTAGCAAGCCTTATTGCATAATGATAAACTGATATAAAATAAATTGACCCAAACCTAGCCTTTTCTATTGTATTTCATTACAACCCTTCCCTTTTTTTTTATATATATAACTACACATTCTTCTTATTATTACAGATATTAATTTCCCCTTTTTTTTATAATAATATGAGGTCATCGCATAATCATCAATCAAGAATAGAATCTGTTACTGGTACTTGGTGTGTTTATGTTGTTTATAATCCTGATAGGTCAAAAGTTTATGTTGGAACCACTCGAGACTTTAAGGTAACGAAAAGAAAAAGAAAAAAAAAAAGAGCGAGGCCCCTTAAAAATAAAAAAAAATTATATATATGAATATACTTTGTATATATATATGTGTATATATATTCTTTTTTTTTGAAAAGAAAAAGTTTTTTTTCTTATCATTTATATAATAATATTAGTATCTATACTTTAAATAAAATTGTTACATACACAATTTTTATCATTTTTCTTTAGGACCGAATTAAAAAACATAATCGTCCATCATCAGCATCACCTTCTACCGTTGAAGATGAAATTGACTCTTGGTTGCCGGTAATCGCCATCACAGGATTCTTTAATAAGAAAGATGCACTAGATTTTGAAAAAAATGTAAAATCTACGGCAAAAAAGAAGGAATTCACCGAATATGCATCATTATATCCGGGTAGATGCCCTCCATTAGTATTAAAACGTATTATTGCCATTAGATGTTTGTTGTGTGAATTTGATCTTTATTGGAGGGCACCAAAAGGAAAAAGACGTCGTTATGTATTACATTGGGGGAGTTATATGGATAGGGATCAAAGACAATCGAACGTGTTGAAACATTGTCCTTGGTCAAGGCTTGGAAGATATGTTAAACATAAGACAATGGATTTATCTGAGGATAGACCTCTCGCACCAGAGACTGATTCTTCAAATGTTTCTGTAACTTCTGAACATACCAATTCTAGAAAAAGAAAAGTCGTAGATGATGATGATGTTGATATTGATGATGACCATGATGACCATGATGAGAACGACGACGACGGTGATCAAAGAGAATAAGTTTATAGATAGGATTTTAATAGAGAAAGGGGGGGTGGAGAGAATATTACTGCTTGCATTTTTCCTTTTTTTTTGAGAAAATTTTTTTTTTAATTTTTTTTTTTTTTTGCATTTTAATTAGAAATTATAGAATAAATCTTATAAACAAAAGATGAACAATTATTTCTATAAAACTTTTAAGATACTATGATGCAAGCTTTTCTTTTCAATATATATATATATATATATAAATTAATACATATATACCTAATAATCTTATAAACTAAATTGACAATTATATTCAATTTTTTTTTCAAATTTTTTTTTCCTTTTTTCTTCCTTTTTTTGCAAAGTTATAATTATATTGAAATTTTTTTTTTTTACATATATAGTTTTAATTAATAGATTTTATAATTAATTCATTACTGGATTTTTTTTTTTTCGCTAAGAGAGTAAGAGAGTAAGAGAGTACTCGCTTTATTCGTAATCGCAATTACTGCGCCATGTGCCACATTATTTTTTCATTGTCTTCTTTTCATAATATTTGTAAAAAAATTTTTTTTTTTTCCTTTTTTTGATTTAATATATGTTCATTTTAATTAAGGTAAAAAATAGTCATTTTTATAAGATAAAAAAAATAAAGTTTTAAACGAAAATCTTAAAAAGTTATACAACCGTTTCAAATTAACTAAAACGAATTAAAAACGAATTAAAAAAAGATTTTAAAATCCGAATTAAAATCCGAATTTAAAAACCCCGAATTACTATAAAAATACAATAAAAT